ACCACCAGGCATTTTCATGAGTTCTAGGGACCCAAATTCTGTTCCCTTGGGCTTTTGCGGTGAGCACTTTAGCCATCACTCCAACTAAGTATTTTAAAAAGATGAGAGATGAAAAGAGAGTGTGTTCTCTGAGTCTGCATCTTAAGCATCTTTTCGGGAATAGTGCCAGAAGGAGAATGAGCAATGAAACTCTCCGGAGCTGAGAGATGAATCTGAGAAGTGAAGAGTGGATGATGGGAGACGCTTTTGCCGACAAGAATAAAGGGGATAGAAAGGGGGGAAACAAATGAGGCTGAAAAGTAAAGAGATGAGCAAAGGAAGACAATCTTGGAAATGTCACAGGAGATGCAGAAGCAAGTAGCTAGGCATCCCACGAATTTGTAAGTCTCCCTTAAGAATTCTCAATCAGTCCACACTGAGGAGCTACTCATGGGTCACACAGCTAATCAGTGGTGAAGAGATTCAAACACAAGTCTGATTGCAGAGTTCGGATGCATACCCAGCTTGCTGTAAGTGGGGAAAGGACACCGCTTGTCTAACAATGATCTCTTTGTCTGTGTGCTGAGACCCTCCTTTCAGACTCCGTCTTATGATTCATTTGTTTAATGTGTGTCTTTGCCCACCAGATCTTTGTGCTTCCTATGGCAAGGATCAGCAAAGGGGAGGGTGTTCATCTATTAATTGGTGAAGAGAGAGGGAGAGAGAGAGAGAGAGAGAGAGAGAAGGGAGAGAGTAGGAAGGAAGAAGGGACAGGAACAAAAAAACAGAAATGAATGAAATGAGCACATGGATGAATAGCCACTCTTGATTCAGCCATGGACCACATTATAACCAGGGACATGATAACTGCATTGAATTTTTTCTTTTAGATCTACGTTTTCTCAAGTCTATTTTCCTTTAGAAACTCTATCTGACTAATATCTTACCCAGACTGAAATGAGCAACTGAATTACCTTTATGTGACACAGTTGATGAGGTATCTAGCCATGTTCCCTCTACCCTCAGAGTGACCTCGAAGGGCTGAGTGTACCCTCAAATTCCAGCCTGAGAATGGAAATCAGCATGGGATGAGATGCTTCCCATCCTTAAAGAATGATTGGTGGCCAGGGTCAACTTGGCCAAACCCAGAAACAGGGCAACAAGGGTGGAGATCTGCTCCTGTACACACCTGGCTTCTCGGAAATCAACATCGCAAACCATCATCTGAATAACAAGTTACTTAGAACTGCAGGAAAGTGTTTGACATGACTTGAACTTTTCTACTACACACTAGTAAATACCCGCAATCTCATTATAGCCATCTGCAAATTAATATTTCTATCGCTTACCAGACGTACTCCCAAGGTAGAGTTTGCACAATCATTGACATTGAAAGAAGAGGCATGAATAAAATTGTTTAAATTGCTCGTAAAAGCCCCTAAGCCAAACCCAAGTGGAGTGGCACACGTTTCTAATCCCAGCACTGGGGAAGTGGAGCCAGAAGAAATCAAGGTCATTCTCTGTTACATAGGGAGTTCAAGGCTAGTGTGAGATACAGAAGAATGTCTCAAATATATAAATAAATAAATTTCATAAGCCAAAAGATTAACCTTTTCAGGCCACATCAAACTATATTATGTTTGAATCTTATTGTTATTTTTCTCTTTTGTTTGTTTTCCTATCCCATTAGGCATTGTATAGGCAGATAACAACTGTAGGCGTAGGTCAATCTTATCATTTGTACTCTGTAAAATACGAAGGAAATTAACAGCAATTGTTCATTATCTCTCCTTTCTCTGTTATCGGTTTCTGCTCCACGAAGAGTTTTGAGGATTGCCTTCTGGTAAAACATCAAATCAAGTTAATTACTCGGAGACAGTTTAAAGTTCAAGATGCACAGAACAATTCCAATGATAAAGAGCACAGCCGCATCCTCCTGGGGACATGTGTTGATCAGCTTTGCGCTGGCTGTTGGCGGTAACAAAACAGGGTCTCAAACTAACAACGGGGAAGAGCACAGGTGAGAACACGTCACTCATGGAAGGATCTCCTCAGAGACCCCCCCTAAATTTACTTCTGAAGCTCTAAGCAACAATAGCCGTCTCTCTCCCCACTTTGTTGTAGAGTTAACTCCACCACAATAGAATGGTGTTTGGACTCTAAATTGTCTTCATTAGAAAAAGCTCCGGTTTAACTCTAAGGGAGAATGTGCTGTGCGTGAGCTCAGTTCCCAGTTCTCTCTCCTACAGGCTCTATCCCAAGCCCCAGGGGCTTTTCCTGGATTCATAGCCATACAGGGACACAGTCATAACACAATTTCTCTGTTCGTTCCCTCGAGCTTTAGGTGGAGATAGGCTGGTAAAGTGCTTGTATTGTTGATAGACTCAAATTATTACACTATGAGTTTTTTCTTAAGTAACGGAAATTAAACCTTATGCAGGTTCTTTGTTTTCCCCCTTGTTTGAGGCATGTGAGTATTTGCGTGCATGTGTGTCTGTGCACCACTTGCGTGCCTGCTACCTGTGAAAGACAGAAGAGGGAGTCAGATCCCCTGGAACTGGAATTAAAGATGACGGTGAGTGGCCACGTGGGTGCTAGGAACCAAACCCAGGTCTTCTGGAAGAGCAGCCAGGGATCTCAAGTGCTGAGCTGTCTCTTCTGGCCCAGATTCTTTGGTTTTTAGTGACTATTTCTATGTTAAACATTAAGTTTTTCACTTTATAATGTCCATTTTAATGCAGACAGGTTGACTCACAGCACACTATGTCCGTGTGGGTATGTGTGTACCTGGGTACCATTCACAGAAGCAGCCTAGCCGGAGCTCTGCCCAGGCAGCCCACAGGAGCTGAACTGCTGCCAAGGCCAGACAGACACAAAGAAGAAGCGCCTATGGGAAAGACTCTATTCAAGGTGTGCTTGGAACATGTTTTAGGCAGAGTTTATATCATGAAGGGGTAGAGATGTAAAAATGTGTGAGCTATTGTAAAACATGCAAACTGGGACAAAAGAACCTGTCTAGTTTGTGTACAGTGGCTAATGTCTGCATTGTAACTATAAGCAAATCAAACAACCACGTTTTAGACAAAATCTCATGTTTAACCCAAGCTGGGTTTGAACTCACTATGTAACCAAAGCTCCACTCATGATCCTCCTGCTACTCCCTCACAAATATTTGAAGTACAGGTATAAGCCTCTATGCCTGTCATTCGGATAACAGCTACTCACTTTGTAAATGTAATTTATTTTATCATATATAATATAAAGAAAGAATATTTGGGAAAAAATTATTCAAAACTTTATGTACCCTTTTACAAAATACCTATTCATTTACTCTGAATAAACGTGATTTTTACCCTTCAGGTCTATGGTGTAAGACACTTTTTCTAATTAAACAAATTTAAAAATGATACAAAGACATCAGAGTTATTAAGAGGGTCCAGTGGCTAGAAAATTAGGGGAAAAATCTAATTGTTTTATTTTGCCATGATAAACACTATGGGCAAAAGTTACTTGGGGAGGGAAGGGTCTGTTTCAGCTTACAGGTTATAGGCCACCATCACGGGACACCAAGGCAGGAACTCAGGACAGAAGCTTGAAGCAGAAACCATGTATAAGTGCTGCTTCCTGGCTTGTGCCCAGCCTAGCTTTCTTCTACAGCATAGACCCATCTGCCTAGGGATGGCACCACCCACGGCGGCATGAGCCTCCTCCATCAAATAGCAATCAAGACAGTATGCCTACAGACATTCCCACAGACCAGTATAACAAAGGCAACTCTTCAATAGTGGTTTCTTCATCTATGGTGTGTCAAAGTTGGCGACCAAAATCAGCCATCAATGAGGAAATCTGAGCAGCCTGAGTTCCATCCCAGATCCATTGATCATAGGAGGCAACCATCTCCTGAAGTTGTTCTCTGGCCTCCATTGGGAGCCCTCAAATACACACACACACACACACACTCACACACTCACACACACACATCATGCACACAGAACAATAATAATTGAAAATTTTTATTGACAGCAGTTCCTTCAAATGCCTCTCTCTGTGTTTTATACACAGACCATTTTTTCTTACTTGACACGGTGTCAGTACTAATTTCCTTTCTCAGGTTATATTAGAAAGGTACCGGGGTGGAAAAGAGTGAAAATTAAAATTTAATAAATAACCTTAATTTTAGCTTAAAACCTGTACTCAATGTTCAAGACACACAATACAAACAAAAAAATGGTATAGGACCATAGCTACTGACTAAATAAAGTACAAAGAAAGAAAGAAAGAAAGAAAGAAAGAAAGAAAGAAAGAAAGAGAAAAGCCATTTTATTTTTAGAAAACTAAAGCTGATCCTTCACTACTTTGTTCATTTCAAAAACAAAACAAAAAACCCTAGTGCTCTGCTTCTTTGAAAGGAACTGAAGTACGGTGTCAATTTAAACATTAATGCCAGGTTGAGCACTAAAATGCATTTTACGGCACGTATAGGTATGTAGACCGCCTTTAGGTGCCGTCTTAGTTTGAGTTCTACAACAAGCAGCACAGATGAGTGTCGCCATAATCACCAGGCATTCATTCCTCCCAGCATATCAGGGGTTTCTCACGAGGGTCTGGTCCCTGCTGCAAAGTCCCGCCTCCCCATGTGTCCTCAGGCTGTAGAGAGAGAACTAGCCAGCTCTCTGGCTCCCTCTTAGAAGAGCACTAATTCATCCATGAGGGCTCTGACCTCATATCTAAGGGAAATTTTCTTACATCAATCAAACTTAATAGTGTTTGCACGGTCAAAGCAGAATCAAATCAAATGCAATTCACACATCAAGTAGCTTCCAGAACCACAGCAGGGTCTGGGAGCTCCAGCCAACAGGAGCCGTGTTTGCAGACATTTGGAAATAACGTATGGAAATATAAGCTAAGCAGCTACACCTGTAGTCAACCAGCCAATTGGATAGAGCTTAACTAGTTAATTGGTTAGAAGCTCTGTAGTAAGCAGTCAAAGCTCATCTACGGCATTTGAATTCTGTATCGGTTTGGTCTGTTGGGGTCAGGGCAGGTGTCCAGTCTAAATCTATGACCTCCTACCAATTCCATCGAATTTCTCATACCTGATTGCCTCTGGACAGTCCATCTCCTAACACCACTGGAGGTCAAGGATTTCAATATATGAGCTTGATAGAGATGCAGACTTGATAAAGATTCTCCGCAATGACTCTGCCAGTCCTCTTATCGATCCTGCAGGTTGCCAGTGAATTCTTATGATGCCATCTGCCCCAATGCTCCAGACTGGAATCCCTCTCCAATGAAGGAAGCTGAAGCAATAGGCAAGGTTGCAGATTGCTGGTGCAAGAGGGTAATTAGGGCCTCACAGTGGGTGTGCATTCTTTCCAGAAGTTCTTGGTCTCAGTCCGCGGTGACAGTTCTAAGTAAGTTTTCTGTGAATGTGAGGAAATGGTGTTCCTAACAGAATTATCAGAACACAGATTATTACTGAACCTCCCAACTTCCTACAAAGGTTCCTGGGTCTGGTGTGGAAAACAGCACTTCCCTTTGCTCGCCGGGCATATAGCTGGACTTGGAGCTTTGTCTGCAGCTAAATGGGCAAGGACTGTGGAGAAAGAACGGAACATATTGACCTTCACCCAGTCAGATTCCTAGTTAGGCTTTTCTTGCCAAACTGCCCACATGCCCTACCTTCCTTCTCCCCTCCCCCTTCCCCCATTGTGATTTGTGAAATGTTTTCCTTGCCTTTTTTTTTCCTCTCCTGAAACCCATTCCCTCCTTGGATTTCTTTGCAACATTCGCTGCAGACAGCTGCTCCCACACTCAGCACACCTGTCCTGGGTTTCAGGCATCCTCCTGGCTGTCTAAGTCTTCTCCACTCACACTCTCCTTTGCTCTCAGCCCCAGAACTCATTCTTTCAGCCTAAACGTCCGCTCTATCCCCATAATGCCAATTCGTAGCTTTCTTCCTGATAATCCTCATTAATTAAACCCACAGAACATAGCCAGAAAGTATGCCATTGTACTAGCTATCTGAGAACCCCTTAGCCCCACTCATGTTGGTATATTCAGTTAACCACCCCAGCCATAAATACAGTGTGTGGAGGAGGTGTCTGACCACAGGCCCTTTTTGAAGATTCGTGTTACTCACATAACCAATTGGAGTTGAAGAATAAAGGAGAATTAATGTCCTAAAGAGGTTCATTTTCAGGTTCAACCTGACTAGCAACTAGTGCATTACTGGGAAGTTTCCCATGCCTTAGTTGCAAAGTAAACCACCCATAGCACTCCTCCAAAGAATAACAATTCAAGGGGGCAAATTATTAGTTGACCCACAGCAGAGAGGAGATAAAAGGCACTCTGATCTAGACAAGGAGGCAGGAATGTGGAAACTCAATGTGACTGCCAATACAAGACCTGAGCCAAAGGCAGAAATCAAGAAGATCATCAAAGGGCTGGAGAGATGGCTCAGTGGTTAAGAGCATTGCCTGCTCTTCCAAAGGTCCTGGGTTCAATTCCCAGCAACCACATGGTGGCTCACAACCATCTGTAATAAGGTCTGGTGCCCTCTTCTGGCCTTTGGCACACACACAGATAGACTATTATATACATAATAAATAAATATTTAAAAAAAAGAAGATCATCAAATAGACTGGACCAGAGACAAGCAGGTTTGATGTGGGAGGTGATATATGCTGTGAATATGTTTTACTGCGATCGGTTAATAAAGGAGCTGCTTTGAGCCAATGGCTTAACAGAATATAGCCAGGCTGAAAGAGATATATAGAGAGATATAAAGAGAGAGAAGAAGGAGTTAAAGAGAAGCCACATAGCCACTTCCACAGACAGACATGCTGGAACCTTGCTGGTAAGCCACATGGCAATACAGATTAATGAAATGGGTTAACCAAAGATATAAGAGCTAGCTAGCAATACACTTAAGTGATTGACCAAGCAGTGATTAAATAATATAGTTTCTGTGTGATTATTTCGGGAGTCTGGGCGACTGGGAAATGAATGAGTGGCCTCCCCCAGCACAGGTTTTTCAATAGGAAAACTAAGGCCAGGGATGGGAAGATGGCTCAGCAGGTAAAGCTGCTTGATGCCAAGGTTGATAGCCTGAGTCTGATCCCTAAAACACATGGTAGAAGGTGAGAACTAATTGTTTGTGTTGTCCTTTGACCTCCACACATCTACTATGGCATGCACACACACACACAACACATGGGCACACCAAATAGATGATAAGGATAGATAGATAGATAGATGATAGATAGATAGATGATAGATAGATAGATAGATAGATAGATAGATAGATAGATAGATAGATAGATAGATAGATGAGAGAGAGAGAGAGACAGAATTTTTTAAAACTAAACTCAGTTTATTAACTCATCCTGCAAAATCCAGGGATGTAATTAAGAAACAGACATTGAAGGTCATTTGCCCTTGATGACATGTTTCTTCATTCACATGTCTATACATACATATATTTCTGACCCTTTGAAAAGATAAAATCTTTTAATTTTTCAATTCTTTTGTAATGATTATTTAACAAGCATACATGTCATATGCTACTTTTACAGCAATGTTTGTTTTGCAAATGTGCACACAAATCAGGCTCTTGTAAGTACAGCTGAAAAATGAACTTGACTGCACCTGTGTGTAGCTACATATAAATGGGATGTTTTAGGTAAATAAATACAGTTCTATATACTGCTTTTAAAAATGCAGCCTTCTCTACACGGGCACCGTTCTGTTTCCTGTCAAGCCCATCTGTTTCAATTATTCTAATGACTATCTTTATTATTCAATTTCCCGAAAGCACATGTCTGCCTCCCTGGTCTGTTGCCTCCCTGCTCTTTTGTATGCCTCCTATACAACAATCAGCTCTATTCATTACTTCCCGCCTTTAAAACATATTGTAGGGAAGCCCAGATATAGGGCAGCCTGAGATAGCCGCTGGTGCTTATCCTGGTGTGAGATAAACAACTGTGGTTCATCCTTTAAGTAAGAGCTTCCAGGCAGGATCATCGTCTTAGAGCTTTGTGAGACAAGAGGGAATACGCTTTATCTAAAGTTATCGCATCACCAATGAGTTCCATCCCCAGATCCACGTGATGGAAAGAGAATTGATCCTGCAAGTTGTCCTCTGGCCTCCACTTGCATGCCACAGTTTGAACACACACACACAGAGACAGAGAGACAGAGGGAAACAGAAAGAGAGAAACCAAAAGGCAGAGAGAGAGATATCTGAATTTTTTTAAAAGAAAAAGATAACCTTGCGAGTCGATAATTTATTAACTAGATTTCGTCACTCCACCATGTGCATGTGCCTAGGACAGCATGATGTGCACAACTCATCCTACACATTTGATCTATCAATTAAGAAAACTAAAACTAAAGGAAAAATATTCGTCCATGTTCTTGACTAGATCAAGAATATTCAGGGTTTTTCCCCTTAATTTACATTAGTTCTAAGTTCAAAGAGTTAACACACACTATGTGATGTCACATAAAGCTGAAATGGCAACCACCTCTGGTCCAGAAGTACTCAGCAGCTGTTCTTTCTTGTGGAGTATATCAACCTTCCTTAGGGAGTATATCTATATTCCTTAGAGAGTATGTGGACCTTCCTTAAGGAGTATATCTATATTCCTTAGAGAGTATGTGGACCTTCCTTAAGGAGTATATCTATATTCCTTAGAGAGTATGTGGACCTTCCTTAAGGAGTATATCTATATTCCTTAGAGAGTATGTGGACCTTCCTTAGAGAGTATGTGGACCTTCCTTAGGGAGTATATGGACCTTCCTTAGGGAGTGTATCTACTGGTTAGACAATATATTTATTTACTCACTATCTACTGTCTGAGACAATGCCCTTCTCTGAGAAACATGAGGGTTTTGTGAAACCCTGAAATTCTATACAGTGTTTCCATGTGTCATAAGATTTTGAGCCCCTGCAAAGTGGGTGTGCAGGTGACAGCAGGTAGTGACACATTTTGTATATTGTTTCAACTAAGTATCACCCGTAAATAATATTCTTTACTGCTTAAAACCCACATCTACCAAGCTTCTAGTTCATTCTCTACTACATCAAAACCTATCTTTCTCCTCTGTAGGAGTGGAGAATGTGGCTTTAGGGCCCTCTTAGCTTTTTCTTTTTCCTTTTTGTTTAAACTCAACATTTTTTTTCAAAGTTCATGGAAAAGATGTTATAATAACCTCACGCTAAGAATAGTACCCCCCTTTTCCAGCCATGCAGAAACACTTGCACAGGAAAAGACTTCCCTCTTAAAATAAATGGAGGAGCTTACCACTGGCTCGGGTTATAGGTAAGGAACTATGAAAAAGCAGGCAGAACTAAAATCATGTTGTTTCTCAGTCATCTCCTGAAACTTCTTTATAAGCCATCTGTTTTGGTTCATTTTCTTGGTTCCAACATCAAAGGTGCTCTGATAACCTAAGGAAATGGTTCTTCTACAACACATCTTGAATCTCAAGCCATCTCCTCCTTTTCATCCTACAGTGGCACAGCTAAGAAAAGAAACATAAATGCTAGGTTATAAAGTAAATGTTTGCCTCCAGTCTATCAATGTCTCCTCCTCCCAAGAATGTATTTTGATGTCATTTCCTCAAGTATTTGCATAATAACTGGGAAATACCAAAATCATTCTCTTTACATTATCAGTCTCCAAAGCAAAAGCAAAATCCCCTAGCTTATGGTGATGTAGAGAAAGCACAAAGCATCTGGCCCCACTGGGGAGACAGCACTGGTGGTATTTACAATAAGTGCTTTCTAGTACACAAACAAGGATTATTGCAAGAAAAAAAATATAAAGAAATAGGCAATAACCTAGTATTCGTGGGGGCATTTAAACATCTGTTACATAGATCTCCTGTTTTTCATTTATGAAGAATATTGTAAGCGTTAAAACTACCACAACACATTTCTCTGTCTGTTCCACAGGTGATGAACATATGGGTTGTATCTACTCGTAGCTATTTGGGTAGAATGTTCCAGTGTGAAAGAATTTATGTTTGACACCTATAGAAACATTTTGGCTGAATTTCTAATTACAATGGAATGTTTAGGTAGTTGGGTGTGGTCAAATTTAACAGAAAAGAAAAGATTAAATTCATATATGTCTGCGTGTATGTTTCTCTCTGCCCCTGACTCTGTGTGCCTGTATGTCTGTCTGTCTGTGTGTGTCTGTGTGTCTGTGTGTGCCTGTGTGTGTCTATGTTTCTGTTGCCTGCGTATGTTGAAGCCAGACACTGACTTTGGGCATCTTCTTATTCACTTCCCATGACCGTGTATGAGAAAAAGCCTCTCATTGAACCTGGAGATTCACTGTTTGGGTTAGACTGGCAAGCCAGCAAGCTGTTGGGAACTCCATGTCTCTGCCACCCTATCTTGGGGACTTACAAAGACACATCACCATATTCTTCTCCTCCTCTTCCTCCTCCTCTTCCTCCTTCAGCTAACTGCTGATATCTTACTGTCTCTGCTACCCTAGCTTGGGGACTTATAGAGACACATCACCATATATATCCTCCTCCTTTTCCTCTTTCTCCTCCTTCTCTTCCTCCTCCTCCTCCTCCTACTCTTCCTTTTCCTCCTCCTCCTCTCCCTCCTCCTTCTTCTCCTTCTCCTTCTTTAGACATGGGTTAGAAATCCAAACTTAGATCCTCATATTTGCACATTAAGCATTTTCCCCACCAAACAGTCTCCCCAACCCCAAATGCTTCTTCGAAGTCACAAGTCCCAGTTGCACCTCCCTCAGAAGCCAAGTTTGAGCCCTTCATCTTAAACGTCCAGTACCTTCCCAGTCAGTTCCATTTGCCACTCCCTGGTTACGAACAAAACTGAATCTTTTATGTTACTAGTCATTGAGATGCTTGTTCAACACTCTCCTCTGCAGTCTTTATACTGGTTTGTAGACCTTCACACATTCTAAATGTAAAACTTACCAAAATCATATGTGTAACAAATCTGCCCCCCTCCACTCTGCGGCTTGACTTTCAACACAGCATCATCGGCTGTGTGACTTTCCTTGTTGTGACAGAATAAAAGACAAAAGCACCTTAAGGAGAAAAGAGTTTTTTTTTTTTATTTTCCAGCTCTTACATCCTAACTGAAGCTTTCCTCCCTCCCCTCTTCCCAGTCCCCTGCGCACCCCAACTCACCTCCCAAAAAGGAGTTAATTTTGGCTCATGGTTGACTTAAGAAGGTACAGTCCATCACGGCAGTGATGCCATTGTGTGAGAAGCATGAGGCAGGGTCACATTTCCTCGGCAGTCAGGAAGCAGAGAAAGATGACTGCTAGTGTTCTGCTTGCTTCTCCATTTAATTCGGCCCAGCATCCCAGCCCACAAAATGGTACCACTTCCATTCCCTCCTCATTTCAACCTCTGTGGGCACACTGCCAGACACGTGCCCAGACGCATGTTACCCGGGTGTTTCTAACCCCCTGCAGGTAGACAGTGAAAATTAACCATCACATTGTCTAAACATCGTTCTTTAATTTAGTAGTCAGCAAAACATCACTTGGATCCTTGGTGGTTGGTGCTATAAACACCCACAGGGACATTTTCATGGAATCTAGCATGCAGTTTTTACTGTTAGTGTCTGTATATTAAGACTTGAGATCCATCCAAAAGTAATCTAGATATGATGTAGAAAAGGCCTTGTTTCCCTACCACACACACTGGGGCACACAACTGACCCGGCACAATCTCGGAGATTTCCTTTCACCAATGTCAAGCATAAACTTGATCATTAATCTCTTATGTGCAGGCTCATATGCAGCCTCTATGCTAGTGACTTAGCAGTCTGGGTTAGACTCAGCGCCACACTGCAATAGTCAGAGTTTGGTCAGTATTGTCGCCATTTTATGAGAGTGATTCCTCCCTCTTTTTCCTTCTTCAAACTCTCTTGACTTTTTATGATAGGTTGTGGTTCTGGGTACGTTTTAAAATCAGCCTGTCTACTAACTTCAAAAATGAGTTGGTTAAATCTGCGTATCATTTTTAATACGCCTTTATACCACTGAATCTTCCAATCTCATGGTGTGATGTATCTCACCACTAATTTGCTTTCAGGAATTTTTAAAATCTTTTAGGTGTCAACGATACTTTCAATTTTCTATTTATTAATTTATTATCTCTGCTACATGTAAATGTATTTTAAAATGACATTTTGCTCAGGAACATTACCGAGTTGTCTTTAAAATTCTAGCAATCTGTATATCATTTCCTGTTTCTGCTTTTGGTGAACTGTGTTGGGAATTGTTTGTAATGTCTAAACATTCGTTATATTTCTAGTGAAAGAATTTATTTTTATAACCTTTATTGGCTTTCTAATGTTTAATATTTTTATTTCCCTTTTCTCAAACTGTTTTGTCAGGGATTTATCAGCTTTCCCATTTCTGTGTCTTTCCGAGGCTGAGCCTTGCTTGTGGCCCAAGCTGGCCTCCTATTTGTAGCAATCCTCTTTCTTCAGCATCTCGCCTGTTCGGATTACGGGTATGCGCAACTGACTGATTTGACATTATTATTACTTTCATATCGATTATTGCCGTTGTTCTTTCTCACCATGTTTTTTTAAATGGCTGTTCAGAAATAAGTCCTAATGTGGGGTCACGAGCTTTCTCCTTTATTTCTTCTTTGGGGAGTTAATTTATTGCTTTATATTGAACTTCCTGCAATGTATAATAAAGTCTCACCCAGTGGAAGGCAGTAGTCCTGTGGCTGACTCCCATCCCAGCAGCTGCACCGCAGACTGGGTGAGTGTCTGGAGATACAAAGTTACCTTCTCACTGCCACTCAACTCAGAAACACTTACCTTTCTCTAAGATTTAATATATGCTTATACTTTTAATATAATCGTCTATAAAGGATTTTTAAAGGGCATGTGAAAATGGGGTTGATTGTCAGCTTACCTGGTTGTTTTCTTGATAATAGAAAAGAGAAAAAAAATGTTTCCCCAATCCTCTAAATCCTCACCAGAAGTATCTCTTTACAGCAACATTTTTTAAAGATCTGAGGGTGAGTGTGTGTGTGTGTGTGTGTGTGAGAGAGAGAGAGAGAGAGAGAGAGAGAGAGAGAGAGAGAGAGAGAGAAAGAGCGCACATGGGTTACTGCACCTGAGTGCAGAGCCTACAGAAGCCAGAAGGGGACATCAGATCCCTTAGGGCTAGAGTTATAAACAGTTTTTTTTCTGATTTATAAATATTATTTATTAATGGACTTCCTCAACATATTCTCCAAAAATCTGCATAGTGGCATTTTCTAAATGTGAGCGATTGAAAAATTTTTTTAATTTATTTATTATCTGCACCTATTGGTTTTGTGGGAGCCTAGGCAGTTTGGATGCTCACCTTACTAGACCTGGATGGAGGTGGGTGGTCCTTGGACTTCCCACAGGGCAGGGAACCCTGATTGCTCTTTGAGCTGACGAGGGAGGAGGACTTGATTGGGGGAGGGGGAGGGAAAGGGGAAGCGGCGGTGGGGAAGAGACAGAAATCTTTAATTAATTAATAAAGAAATAAATAAGTTATAAACAGTTTTAAGTCACCTAAGGAGCGTGATGTAACCTGAACGCGGGTCTTCTGTAAGGGCAATACACACTTTTAACTGCGGAGTTGTCTCTCCAGCCCCCCCCCCCAGTAACATTTAATGTAAAACTGGCTTTCCACTTTTTGCTGAAAGTACAAGTTTGCTGACGTCATTCTGATGTTTACAGCTCTGTCCTTTATGTATTCAGGAAAGTGAGATGATAAGTGAAGATAATTAGTATCATTCTCTATGATTCCCCGAAGATGAATACATCTCGGGACACCGTGCAACTGTCAAGTAAGACACAAAAGTGAATAATTACCTCCAGTGATTGATAATATTTTTGCAATAAATGACACTCTGCTATGCACGCAGTCAATTCCTACTGGTTCTGCTAGGTAGCCTTGACAAAAATCTCCTGTTCTTGTCTGGCCACACTAAGCTCTGACAACCCTTGAGAGATCATTCTGTCACACATCTACCTTCCATGATGTCTTTTAAAATATTGTTTTCCTTCCTGCATCTCTAAGTGTAGAAAAATTTCCATTGCCCCTAAGAAATTTTTAATTTGGTAATAAGATTTTAATAATTATATTTTTTTCCTGACAGTTTCTGAGGACTGAACCCAAGGCCTTTATGCATGCTAGACAGTAACTCTACCACTCAGCTACAAATACAACCTTTAATTACATATTTTTAATCTCTCATTTCCTACTTTTTAATATAATTTCCATTTATAAGTCCATATGTTATTTGGGTAAATGGAGTTGCCTATCTTAACTTATACCCTAGAGGATGTAAACAAATTAGTCATACCTCATGTTTAGGAATTATCTACATACATTTCTATTCAAATCTATTTTAATTAGTTTTACGTTATCTTGCAAAGCATATAAAATAATGAGTTTTGTGGTGATATTTTCATACAGCTATCATTATATTTTTCTTACTTTGTCTTTCTTAACACCTATCTCTTTCTCCTTTTTTCTATTCAAAACAGCTCCCTTTCTGTTTCTATGTCGCATATATTAATCCACTACCTCTTAAACTATATTTATTCAAAGTAGGACTATGTGCTGGGGTTGGAAAAATGGCTCTGTGTACTTGCACAGGACTTATGCCTCCCAAACCCACATGGAGGCTTAGAATGCTCCATGACTCTAGTTCCTGGGGTTCTAGTCCCCTCTTCTGGCCTCCTCGGGCACCAAGCACTTAGGCAGTGTATTTACATACACACAAGCAAAACACTTGGACACATTAAAATAAAAACAAATGAAAACATATTTCTTAACTGAGTGGTGGTACATGCTGCTATTTAATATAATCTATTAAAGTATCTATCATCACTCTCAATCCATTGACTTCTAGCTCATTATCACATAGTAATCTTTATCTTGTAATAATGTATTAGAAAGTTTCCTGCTGTAGTGTAACAGTTTCTTCGGTGATAAAACCTTTCAACTTGGAGTGAAACGCAGTGAGATACAGGGTGTGAGAAAAGGGGTGAAACAATAGACCATCCTAAGGAATGGTGAAATATCCACTCTGCAGGGATGCTCCTATTAGGAAGTGAACAGCCTAAAGACTTCAGGAAGTCCCTGAAACTGAGCAGATTCATGAAGACACTCCTTCCTCAAGCATATATAAGCAGTAAAAAACTGCTGAAAGACACTCTCAGACAAGCCTGGCAGCCAAGAAGACATAGAGACAAGATGGGCTGCTTGCAAGAAGCTCAGACCCCGAACTGCCTGAAAGAGTACCCCTCTAATCTGTTGCGCCACCTATATACTGTGCAGTGAGTTTCAGGTTTCCAGCCTTGTGAGCTGTCAGTCTTGCTAGGGTGGGTTTAATGATGTAGCTGTCTTGGAGTCATTTTTTGCTTCTGTGGGTAACCCATCACCCATATTAATATAAACAACCCCAATAATTGTCTTTGGGTCACCAAGTTGGACTTTGGTACTGTCCTTACCTGTCATCAGTTCCCTGTCTGGAGTGACTAGATATTTGTCCACATCTCCCTGAGAATGGCATCACACAACATATGTTTATGAAAATTCTAAGAAATACAAATATTTTTTTTTGGTTTTTCAAAACAGGGTTTCGCTGTAGCTTTGGTGCCTGTCCCGGAACTAGCTCTTGTAGACCAGGCTGGCCTCGAACCTTCAGAGATCCGCCCGCCTCTGCCTCCTGAGTGCTGGGATTAAAGGCATGCGCCACCACCGCCCGGCTCAAATAAAAAGTTTTTAAGTCACGTTCCCTATTCTTGAATTTTAATTATGTCTTTTCTTACCCTTTCTAAACTCAGAATTTTCCTTTACACCTGGTGGAAACCTACAGTATGAACATACATGTGAACTGTGTCAAAGTTCCTTTTATCAGACCTGGTCTCAATCCTACTGTCCCTCACATTTATCCTCTAAAGCAGTAGTTCTCAATCTTCCTGATGTTGTGACCCTTTAATAAATAATTCTTCATGCTGTCATGACCCCCAACCATAAAATTATTTCATCACTATTCCGTAACTGTAATTTTGCTACTGTTATCAATGTTAGTGTCAATATCTAATATGCTAGATCTCTGATATGCGGTCCCTCCCAATGACGTCACAACTCACAGGCTGAGAACCACTGCTCTGGAGTCTCACTGTACAGTTTTCTGATTAGAGTCCATGGACAACCAAGTTACATGGCCAATGAGTTAACTAGTCTTTCCCAGCACAAAAATAATATTCATCCAGAGCGATACGCTGCGGTTGATGTTAAAAGTTACTTTTAAATCCTGGACCAAGATCTATAATTTTTGGTGCTGCTCATAAGTTTTAAGACAGTTTCAACCTCTTCACTCTCTTTCTTGAATTGTGTAAGAGTTGGCTCTATTAATCACGAAATATTCAGAAAAAGTTCTGTGACACGAGACCCCTCTCAGAACTCTTAAGGACTGAAGCACTACACGGCTTTTCACAGTAGCATCTGGTGTTCTATGTGGTCATTCACCCCACTTTAGGGCTCTTCTGATCTCACACCTGTACCCCACCCACATTCTCTGGTAGACCCTGTATTAGGTCTTCCTCCTGCTTCACAGATGATCTGGTCTGTGGAAAGTCCTTTGGTGGTTTACAATGTTTGCAGTTGAGTATGCCACTTAACCTGGTTTAGAAAGTCAGTATTAGGGAACACATACTCCTCAATGCAAGTTCCAATAGAAATATCAATTTGTCAAAAATAAAGGCAGAATCATAGCCTCCACTTCCAGTCATTTTTTTTACTTACTTTTGAATCTGTTAAGAATTTGAATAGAAAATACGGATCCTACTTAAGATCTCTCTCTCTCTCTCATATGTGTGTGTTCGTGCTACATGTTTATGTGTGTGTCCATGTGTAGTGTGGTAGTTATTTCGAGTCTGAAGAGGGTAGAATATCAGGTGTGTTCCTCAGTAGCTCCTCACCTTGTTTTTGAGACAATGTCTCTCACAGGACCTGGAACTCACCAACTAAGCTAGACTGACTGATCAACGAACTCCAGTGACCCTCTTCTCTTGGCACCTCCCACCCAGTATTGTACTGCCATGCCCAGGCTTTATGTGGGTACTCAGATCTGCACACTCGGTTATCTGTTGAGCTGTCTTCCCAGCCCAGATTCCTTAACACCTTTTGTAGCCTTCTCTTGTCTAATGTCTACCTTTCAGCAATATCTCATGGCTCTAAAAATACCCACTATTGGGTTTATTATGGTCTTCACCCCACAAAGCTCACTTTCACTCTTGTATTGAACATGTGAAGACTTCTGTGCTGTCAAGAATTTTAAAGGAAAAAAAAACTCACTCTAATTGTAGCAAGGAAGTCTTCTTAAAAGTAGCAACCATTTCTTTGGCAAGATTTCTCTGAGCACCCTTCCTAAACTGGCCCATTGCCAGGAACTGTCCATCACAGTTTTTCAGCCGTGTTTTTGTTCACTTTTCTTCTCCTCGCCCAAGAGGACAGCAGGGGAGCTGACATTTCTCCAGTCCCAGGTTCTTCTGTGTGTTCACGGCTCAGAAAAGTGATGCACACTCCATACACAATGGATATTGTCGGTTTGCGTAGAGTAGCAGTTCTCAACCTGTGAGTCCTGCCCTTTCGTGGGTTGAACGACCTGTCAAAGGGGTCATCCAAGACCATCAGAAAACACAGATATTTGCACTATGATTCACAACAGCAGCAAAAGTACAGTTATGCAGTAGCAATGAAAATAATTTTATGGTTGGGATCACCACAACATTAGGAACTGTATTAAAGGGTCACAGCATCAGGAAGGTTGAGAACCATTGACACAGAGCAACAAAATGAAGTATCAATTGTATAGTTATAGAACAATTGTTGTGTGCCAAACACTTGGATAGATTCTTGTGGTCTTTTTAAGAGCTTTATTGAAGTACAATTGGCATGCCATAAATCTTACCCTTTTAAAACATATGATACCATTTTTCTAATATATTTAGAATTGTATAACAGTGACTGCAACCTAAGTTTAGAATTGTTCCAAAGACTTTCTTTTGTTTCTGTTTTAGATGTGTGTGTGTGTGTGTGTGTGCAAATGCCCATAGAAACAAGAAAGTGGTATTAGATCTTCTGAAGCAGAAGTTGCAGGTGCTAGTGAGCCACCTGAGTACTGGGAACCAAGCTCCAGTCCTCTGGAAGAGCAGCAAGTACTCTGAACAACTGCATCATCTCTCCAGCCCCATTTGAGAATATCTTTATCCTTCCTAAAATGAGCTTTCGTGTCCATTAGCATCCATCTCCTATCCACTCTACTTCCTCCAGCTCTGTACAGCCACTGATATATTTTTTATCTCTACAGATTTGTCTTTTGTAGACATTTTGTATGTGAGATTATATAGCATGTGATTTTTTTGTGTATGACAGGCTCCTTTAACTTATTATAATGCTTTTTTAGACTTGTCGAGCTGTGATATGTATATGTACTTCACTTATTTTAATGCTGAAAATTCTCATTCCCTGGATATGCCCAATTTTGCTTATACAGACTTCAATGGATAGGTTGTTTCCATTTCAGGAGGGAACTTGGTGACAGGTTGTGTGTGGACAAATATCTTCGTTTCTCTTGATACATGGGAGTTAAAATACTGGATCATATGGCACCTTCATTTTAAGACATTGTTAAACTACCTTCTTAAACAGGTGTATCATTCTATAATCCCACCAGCAATGGATGTTGGTTCACATTCTTGCTCACACCTCTTATTATACCTGAGGTGTCGCCCTTTGGGTCGATGCTGGGAAGTGGTATGTCATTGACTTTCTCCACATTTCTCTATCAATGACACTGAGCATCTTTTCCTGGCATCTTCAGTTCCTTGTACTATTTTTTTTTTACAGAAATGCTTACTTACTTCTATAGTGAATTCCACAATTAGAATTCTGTATTTCAATTTAAAGGTATTTATATATTCAGAATAACCATTTGTTAGGTTGTGATTCTCAAATATTTTCTACGTTATACAGCTCATCTTCCTTAATTGTGTCCTTGAAACACAAAGTATGTAATTTTCAAAAGGTCCAACTTCTCTTGCTTGTATTTTTTAGTACATAGGGGCCAGGAAGATGTCTCAGAGGGTGAAGTGCTTACTGCGCAAGCATGAGGACTGGATTCAGATCCTCAGAGCACACATGAAAATCTGGAGGGGTGAGGCCACCTGCCTGTAATCCCAGCACAGAGAAGGGAGAGACAGGAACCGCCAGAGCACACTGGCCAGCCAGACTAGTTGAAATGGCTAGGTCCGTGTTCACCAAGAGATTCCGCCACAATGCATAAACAACTGATAAAGACTAAAGGCATCATCCTTGGGCCTCCGTTCACACGTGTATGCTCATACATATACATACACACGTGCATCCGCACTCATGGGAATACACATCCATGCATGCACACATACATAAGCAAAAATAAAGTCATAGATAAAAAAAATAGAAAATTTAAATCAATAGAATGTAGACCTAGAGGCTTATTTTAGGTCTCTCTATTTTCTTCATTGGTCTATATATCTGTGTCAAATCTATCACTTCTTAGCCTTCTGACTAAGCCCAAGCATGGTATCATGGCATCATGATGCTAGGGCCCCTCTTTGCTCACTGATAAGCTTTCAAGTACATACGTGATTCATGATTCTTCCATCTTTGTTTTATTTTTTCCCCCCAAAGATGTTTTTGTTCTCTGGGCTCCCCTACATTTCCATATGAATTTTAGGATTGCACAAAAGAAATCACATGGTATTTTTGTGGCCATTCTTCTAGATATGTACATCAGATAGGGACTAGATCATCATCTTAATAATAGTAAATCTCCAAAGCAATAAACGTGGATAAACTTTTTATTTATTTGGATCCGCTTTAATTTCTTTTAGACATGTCTTATACGTTTTATTTGATTGCTTTAATTGGTCTGGGGCTTGGGAAGGAGTTGTTCCCCTGGGGGATGGTGTGTGTGTGTGAGTGTGGGGGGGGGTGTACCCAAAACACTAATATTCAGACTGAGCCTTATACATGCTAGCCATGCACTCTACCACTGAGATATATCCCCAACCCTGTAGTTAACAGCATAAAATTTTTACGCTTTATTTTTTAATTTATTCTGAAGTATTTACTCTTTTGACCTTATTTTCAGTATATTTTATTAAGCTATATTTTTAGATCTAGTTCACAATATTCCTCAAATGTATAAACATGTGCCTTTCTCATTGATTTTATGTGCTGCAGCCTCAATGATCTTGTACATAGTGCTACATGCTTTGCAATGTACGGGGCACAGACAGCATTACTACAGCATTCTTATAGATGATGCCAAAAATCAGAAAGGAATTCTGGCATGGGCAGAAATTGAGGAAATAATTATTAGCAGGCAAGTTACGGAGTAGAAATAGCTCAGGTCCTTGTCTTTTTCTTCTTGTGCTTAGCAAATTATTCCCAGCATGAACAAACGACACGTAATAGTTTTACCTATTTGTACATCATGTGTCAAATATGTCTATTTTACTGTATCAATTTGCAGAATTCCTCTCATTCAAATAGTCCTAAGATTACTCAGTGCTTCATAATGCCCTATCAATTCACTTACCAAAAACAAAAACTACAGGGTTAGGAATATGGTTCTGAGGGTTAAGGGCTTGCTGCACGAACATGAAGCCCTGAGTTCAGATCTCCTGAACAACAACAACAACAACAACAAAAGCCAAGCCTGACAGCTCGTGCCTAAAATCTCAAGAGGACAAAGCTCTTTGGCAAATCTTTCTAGCCAATCAGTGATGTCTGGGTTCCGCAATTGATTTCATTTCCAAAAATAAGGTAAAGAACAACAGAGGAACAACTGGACATAGGTCACTGGTCTCTGGCCTCCACATGCATGTGTATGGATGTGGATACCTGCACATGTACCCACAAAAGTAAAATTTGGCTGTTATTCATAAGAAAAACAAACATTTTCTCCTTTAACTCTCTTGAAGGTCAACTATAAGTGGTACGTGAAATGAGAAAAAAAGGAAAGGAATTATTTAACGTTTACATAGTTCTAATCTACTTTTTAAAAATGTTTAATTACATGTCTGGGTGTAGGTGTGTGCACATGTGTGTGCTGGTGCCCTCAGAGACCCGGAAGAGGGAGTCAGAGCCCCTGGAGCTGATTTTGCAGGCAGTTAAGAGCTGCCTACCATATATACCCTGAAGCAGACTCAGCGCCTTTCCAGCTTCAGAAATGGAATTTGGCGTATTAGGGCAGTAGGCAGGACTGTGGGGGCGTGGCATAACTGAAATGTGGACAGCTAATGAAAGGTCAAAGAGGATCCAGGATGAGAATTAAATGAAACTTTCATTCTCTTGGGTTTTATTTCAGAAATCTAGTTAGTCTCCCAGTTCAAAACTCTAGAGAGTAAGGGGCCATGTGTGGTAGTGACATCATATCCAAGCGATCCTGGATTGCGTTTCAACAGCTTTCAAGCAGGTTTGAGCTAGAGTTCACCGGGAAGGATGGCGCTCCTCCAGTCAGTATAACAATCAAACCTCTTGGCACTCTCTGTTGACTTGAGTCCCCTGGAAAAGGGGAGCGAGTCATGTTACAATTTCAGAACTAGTCAGAGATTGAAAATTAATGCATCAAAGAGCACGTTGTTTGGGCCTTTTGTCTAAAGGGCAAGTGCAGATAAATAGGAATTTGGAACCGCTGTGCCATATATAGGGATTTGTTTCCTGCACGAAGCGCCAAAGAAAACAGTGCATTCAGATGGTAATGAGGAGGGGGCCTGGGTGTAGATAATTGTGTGTTAAACTCGGATGGGCTAATTGTGCGTTTTCATGTGAATCAGCCTCCTGCTAGGACTCATTAGGAATGCACATTAAAGATACAGACAAGTGTGCCGCCTTTTAATCAAGTGTCTTATTTCTCACAACTATTAGTATTGCAAGCATTCTGGTAGGTGCAATTTTTGGCTGAAACTTAATTGTGAAGCCTAGAAGCTCGATTCTGTTTCAAAGCTGTAGGAATATCTCCGCATGAGGGTGAGTGGGAGGAAACGGGGCCGGGGGAGTGGACCAGAATAGGAATTGATCAGTTTCTTTCTTTTTCTCTTAACTAAATAAGCCGAATTCTTACTTGGAATCCATACAAAGCCCTCCACAAAATACCAGTCTACAGATGGTGCCAGGGAAATGACGGCAGCGGCCACAGGAGTGGAGCTTAGGAGACACGCAAGCAGATGAGAGCATGGGGCTCCAGCCATGACCTCAGACAGAGGGAAGCCATCTACAGGACAACTGGTACCTAGAGCAGCAAAAGAAAAAAAAAAGTACTCATATGACCTTTATCATAGCAGGAGAGCCACACGTAATTAAGATCATTGAAAAATTAAAAATCAGGCTGGAGAGAGGGCCCCATGGTTAAGCGCACTTGCTGCTCTTGCAGAGGACCTGAACGCAATTCCCAGAACCCGCATCCAGTGACTCGCTACCCCCTATAACTCCAGCTCCAACGCAATCCAATGCCCTCTTCTGGCCTCCGTGGTCATTCACACTCACATGTATCTTATTCACATATCCACACAAAACACACAAACAAAATACAGAGGAACCCTGCCTCGGAAACACAGACACACACACACACACACACACACAAAACTTCAAACAAAAGAAATTAAAACCTAAGTGGGTATATTTTTTAATTCTAAACTTCCTTGCAAAAGAATATTCTCTTTGTTTCTAATTTATGTTATACTCGCTTCTAAGAGGCAAACACTTACCTTTGATTCTATAGCATATTCAAAGATAAATGTTTGTGAAGACTACCACAGATGATCTGAATACTTGAACCGTATCTCTAAGGCTGTGTAATAGGGCAGAGTCACCACATAGTCCAGCATCCTGTCTACAGGGGATGGCGGACCACAGGGAGAATGCTACTGGGGAGGTAATAAAGAGATGTGGAAGCTGACATCTTGCTGGAATTTCAAGGAAAGAAATCAAGGCAGGCTTCCTTCTCAAGGAACCTAGAGTAAAAAAAAATAAGGTTTGCTTCCTTCTGGGGCGTGTTCGCGAAGACAGCAAAGTGACTTCAGCATCGAGGTCTTTCAAGGATGAACAATCTGTGTCCATCTACTGATCGTGGCCTTTAGAGCAGCTTGCCCTCAAAAGACACTGGCGCTAGACCTTGCGCTCTGCTAGCCGGTAGTGAGGGAGTACGGTAAATAAAGAGTAATATTCGTGTAAATGAGAAGACAATTGTCCCAACTCAGAAGGTTCCAGCCCAAGAGCAAAGACCAGCAAGTCCAAGCACGTAAACATACTTAGCTACTACCCACCAGTATCGACATTAACTACAGTAACAAACATCTTTCCAGGTGTTTGAATCCAATTTAAGCCCATAGTCCCAGAGGAGTTATAAGCTTTGTAGATTTTAATTTAGACTTTCTATTAGAACTTTACCATTTTCAGTGAAATGTATTCAAAAGAAATTTGGCCGTTTTTCTAAGTCCGAACAACAAGAATGATTGGCACCTGTGGTTCTCCGGAAACCCCTGTCCCAGTAAGTCTGTTCACACTGAGTTCTGCTCTATAGGGGCAGGTAACCCTTGGTTAGCCCAGAACATCATCTAGTGTCATGTGGAGACTCGTAATGAGACACTAAGAAACAAGAGACTTGATTAGTCTCAACGATGTATCGACTTAGGAATTCTATTTTTGCTTTGTTTTGGGCTCCTGGCTGTGTGTGTGTGTGTATGCTTGTTTGTTTGTTTTTAGGGTCTTACTATGCAGTCATGACTAGTCTGAAATTCACTATGTAGAAAAGGATACCCTCATGCTCAGAGCCATCCTCCTGCTTTCGACTCCTTGTGCACCATCCTGCCTGGCCTGGAGTTCTCTATATGAAACAGCAAACAGAATGGAGTGCTAACAATCTGGCCAATACAACAGAAGAAATCTGGACTCCAGGTCCAGAAATGCAACGAATAATGCCTTATCATCAAAATTGTTCCCAAACTTCTTTGAAGTCAAGATAGAAGTTTCCATTTTAAAACTGAGAAACCACAGAAGCTCCTTAATGAGATTTTTATCTTGTTAACAAAATTTTAGTGAAAGTGCCCACATAAGAGCTAAACAGATTAAAGGATGAATAACGTTCCCACCATTATCTCCAACACAGCAGATTCGTAATAACTATTCCAACTTTTTAACACATCATGTCTCTTTCTTCTTGGCTTCTGTTCACTTATTTATGTTTAATTTGACTTCCAGCTGTAATGTCCCTCTTCCTCAATAGAAGAAAGTTCGCACGGGCCTGCCCAAAGAGAATCTTTTCTGCAGTGAACAAAAGGATGTAGGCAGAGAACAGAAAATGTAGCAATTATGCATGCAGACCTACCAGGAGGGAAAATCCTGTTTGTTTGGCTTCCTTACAAGTTTTGTAAAAACACTCTTTATTAGGAAATGGAATAAGGAACAAAGCAATAGGTTTAATAACCGCTGTTTCTAGGCTGCAGGATTATAATTTGGGGGAAATTACCACCATCTCTGAAATTAAGACCCGGTGGTGATGGTGGTGATAGAGAAGAAGGGGCGATTGTAATTTAAAATAGCTGCGCATCTGCCACTAATAATAAGAGAAGTCCCCATCTTCCATATAGAAATGCAACCATCAGCTACTGCTCTAAGTATACAAATCTTTGCTAGACAAGAATCATGTCTCATACATTCTTTGAGAAACTTAGACAGCATTTATCGTTTGGGGAATCTACATGGACCTGTGTTTATTTGTCTACTCTCTTAGTTCCTCATTATGCAGTTAACGGCTCACCAAAATCGCCACTGTAGTGGACATCCAGTAGGTATCCAGGGCACACAGTGTCTACAGTAACTGAACGAATGAGTGGAGGAATAAATGAATGTCCAGCATGTAATCTCCGCCTTCTGTTACCATGTTCCTTCCTTCACAGCCTTATCTATTTTTACATCTGATAAACTCTAGTTTCACATTCCTTAAGCTACCGGTAAGGTCTCCCTAGAGTACCAATGTGTCGGTGTCGCAGTATGAAGGGTAATGTAGAGGCAGGAGCCTGAAAATTCAAGATGGACACATTGAAGAAGCCGGATGATAAAAGACAGGAAACCCTCCTCCACTTGGGCTTCATCTGAGAAACCAAGCAGGTGCCAAACAGTGAAGGCGAACTCTACAGTCATGAAAATGGCGGGTGCTAGGTCAAGTCTCTACAAAGGGTTATCCACCTAATAGCCTGGTGCTTCGGGAGCTCATCCTTAGCTCACCAGCCTCCTCCCATTTAGGGGAGCGCTTTTCCTTGCTGCTGTTTTCCTACATGTATTCATGGTTGAGGATGGTGCACGTGGTAACGTGGCTTGTGCAGGTGGGGGTCCAAGGACCTGTAAGAGCCCTGGCTCTTTCTTCAACAGCAGATTCGGCATAGTCATTTGCATTTGATGAAACAAAACACGCTTCTTTCCTCTGGCCACTTCTTTATGCTTAATTTGACTTCAGCTGCGGTGACTCTTCTCCCTCAAATGAGGAAAGGTCACCCAGGTGCATCCCAGGAGAATCTTTTCTACGGTGAACAGAAGGATCTAGAATCTAGATTCTAGATGACATAGATCAAATGTGGCAGTTACACAGGTAAGGCTGTCCCCTAACATGGGTCCCACCCAGGGTCAGAGCTCGGGTTCTCAGGCTCAGAGACAGAACCACCAAGCACCGAGCCATCTCGCTAGCAGGCTTCTCTTTCTTAGCAAGCTGTCTCTATTTATTTTTCTAACCACATATCCCCAGTGTAATCCTTTGTCCTAGGACACAAGGTCCTGGGATCTGGTGCCCTCTGAACTCAAACTTATGACCCTGGCGCTAAGCATGTTTTCCCTTTCCCTTCTCTTTCATCATTTTCAGATACTAGACAAAAGTCTGTGTGTGCTTTCTCTGACACTCCAGGCTTTCACTGTTTCTCTGACCTCCATGCCTGGCTTTAAAAGCACGGCCGTTTCTCCACCCTCATCCTCCTGGTAGCTCCTAGAATATTCAGCTCACCTGTCCTATTGGTTTTGTTTGGTTGGTTAGTTGTTTTGGTTTGCTTTGGGGGGTTCTTTTAGCGTTTGCTTTGGTTGTTGGTTTCTCAAACTTTAAGTGAAATTGTCCTCAGACTTCCTTTTGAGTCTGATTTGAAGTTATTTTATGAATGGCACTAAAAGGACCGGTATGGGCACAAAGCACCCAAGGACTAAGTTCTCAGCACAAAGATTTATTCGCCCCAGAGGGACAAAGGCCAGGGAATCAGAGACAAAGTCAGGAGATAGAAGACAAAGAAGAAAAAAGAAACAAGGGAAAAGGGAATGCATACTGCCTTCCTCCCACTCCTTCTACCTTCCCCTCCACCCCATCCCCCACTGAAGTGTAGGGATATAGGAGAGATAGGCAGGCAGAAAAGAGTGCTTACTGCTCGTCCAGGGGACCTGAGTTTGATTCCCAGCAGCTGTACTGGGTGACTCACAATTACCTATAATTCCAGTTCCAGGGAAATCAACGATCCGATACGCTCTTCTTGCTTCCATGGGTACCTACACACATACACACAAACAGATAAACAAATAATAAACCTTTAAAGTATAATGATGCACACATGATTATACACACATGCATGAATAAATAACAAACTTCAAAATGTAAGGATAAGGCATGCATACACATACACACACATGCACACAGACATACACACATAAATACACACACAGCTACACATACACACACATTTTTATGTCATACATTACATTCCTCACTTACCACTTCTGTTCCAAAAAAAAAAAATAATTGCCATAATTTTTTTTTTAAAAAAAAGTGAGACACTTCATTTCAAGATTTGATTTTATCCCTGTCCTTCAAAATACAGAATGTTCCCTCTGACCTTGGTTGAGACCTACATTGCTGAGTATCTGTCCAGTTGTAACACAACTTCACAATTTTTATTATATGACCAGATGATGCCCATATGCCCTGTACCTACACACATGTAAACACATGTATAAATATATGCTCATGCAAACATAGAGTATACATTTGAGTGTATAATCAGATGGTGTGTGTGTGTGTGTCTACATGAGTTTATATGTACCACATGTGCGCAGGAGCATGTGGAAGCCAATAGAGAACACGGAATCCCTTAGAACTGAACAGAACCCGCCATGTAGTTGCCGGGAACTGAAGGTTCCACAAGATCAGGTCCTCTACGAGATCAGCAAATGCTTCTAACCACTGAGCCACCTCTCCAGCCCCCAGTTTCCCTCTTATAGCAGTGTGAATTCTCACGACGTTCACTGTAACACACTTCTCACGCCTTCAAAGCTGCCTGTGGTGCTATCTTATTATAAAATGCCTTCCTCGAACATCCCATACCTGATATTTAGTAAGCAATTGCTGCTGCGATGTGTTAAATGTCCCCCGATGGCTATAAAGACAGGAGAATTTGCATTGTTAAGTACTTAAAGAACCGGAATGTAAATCAGTCACTGTAAGCATACAGCAGCCCATGGCTTCAGACTGAATTTTGCTGTTGGCTGGAGATTGTTTGCCAACCACATTTAGAAAGGTGTTTACTGCTTTTTAAAATTTTTCTTTACCCTTGAGAATTCATGTGTTTACATAATTAAATATAATAATATACACCACAGTTTTCCCATAAATCTCAACACACCATTAATCAATTAT